TCACAGTGCGCATGGACGCCCAGGGTGACACACAAACCAATCACAGAGCTCTATTGAACGTTTGCGTTCGATTTGTTGCTTCACTTAAGCAAGCATCGTTTGTGAATACGGGCGTAAGTCTGCTTAGTTATGTGTTTATTTATTTATTTATTTATAATATGTGTTGCCATAATAACAATGTTAACGGCAAGATGAAGGCCAAGAGCTTTCTCGTTTTGGATAAAAAAAGACAAATATTCTTAAAATTAGTTTATAAACATGTAACGAACAAGCACAGTGTAATTTGCGCATTAATAAAATAAATGTATTTAGTTCTTCTTAGCGATAAGAGTCGTTTCTTAAACTAAATTATAATTCGAACAACGGCTTCGATTCTCGCCTTAGGCAGTTTGATTTTTTCAAGTTATTTATAATTTTGTATTTAGTTTTATACATACGTTAGTTTTACTGCATTGACTTTACTGTAGCAATTTAATGTCAGCAAACTGCTTCGTTCTGCGAGAATTCAAGCGTGTGACATTGTCTGCATTTGCATACGTCCATTTAACTGCTCGTAACAGTCCGTAAAAGAGATTGTTTAAAACGCAAGCGCAGACACGATGGAAAATTTTAACTTTTTCGCACATTTTTTTATTAAATGTCGCTTTTCCCACTGCAATCTAGTTTTGGGATCCAGTAATGCAGTATCCAGTAAAACTGGATTGTCGTGTGAACACAAGTGCGGGTTTGAAATTCGTTTTTTTTTTTTGCGGAAAACTGCAAACGGGATGTTCGTTAAATCGAACGCACGGCGTTGAATAGAGCTCTGTGATTGGTTCGTGTGTCACCCTGTGCGTCTACGCGCACTGTGAGACCTCATAGTAATGTTTGTGAATACGGGCGAGACACGTAAAGCAAATCCTGCAAAAAACAGTTCCTACAAAAAAGTTACGGGCGAGACACGTAAACGAGATCCTGAAAAAAACAGTTCTTGCAAAAAATGTCTTCGTAGTAAAGAGTCCTTAGACTCAGGGAAAATATAGTATTGTTATTTTTATCTCGGTTTTTAAAGGTCACGTGCGTGATTAAGTTTTTCCGCCAGACCATAATTCACGGACGCAGCCACGGGCCAAAGCTATACATGCAAGCCCATCTGTCACATGAGCACGTTCGTGCGAAACGGTAATAATGTTTTAATTGCTCTGAGAACCTTTTAAATAACGCGATTTACCGAAAACGTCACAATGCCGCACTTTCACTGTTGCGCAAAACTGTTCTAGTGTGTTTGCACTGGTTGGGGTTATATTGGCCAAGCTGTAGATCCTGGCTACACAGGAGTTGCAGCGGTGGGAACGAGAGGTGGGAATAGTCCCGTTTTTTTAGTGTGCTTGCATCCCTGCTGTTGGTTTTATAAGGCACTAACGGGACTATTCCCACCTGTCGTTCCCACCACTGCAACTCCTGTGTAGCCGGGATCTACAGCTTGACCGCCATAAAAACCCAACCAATGAAGGTCAAGTTTGTCCCGGGGGAAAGTTAAACTGTCATTGGACCCGCAACGAAATTAATCAGAAGAACATAGGAGGAGTTCGAAATTAAGGTTCGACTTCCCTCCATTGCAAAGGAGGAGGTGACAAACAAAGGTTTAAAACCTTTAAGAAAAGATTATGCACCACGGACAATAAATATCAATTAAGGGAGCCTATCTTAGGAGCACTATTCTACTTCTCAACCATCTTACACTGAGTCATCATGTCCTAAACCACAGATAATATTATACCAGTACTGGGTCCCTGAAAAGTAATTACAAATGATACTAGTCTTATTACATAGCTATTTTCAATTTGATATCAGTTATTATTCGAAATTTCTTTCCCATTAGGTACTCATAATACATCTAATAGGAAGAGTCAAATGTCTATTGAAAAACTAGCTCGCAAAACTAGTTAAAAATCGTTCTTCTTTCATCCTCTCAACTGTTAATTATAAACATTTATTAGATCAGCCTATGCCTGTTATCTCGCTTACCACAAGCCCAGCAGTGGGCTCCATTCGCGACGCGTCTGCGACTTTCACCGTTACGCAAAACTGTAGCAAGGCACTCGCGACGCATTACAAGGAGTTACAAAATCGATTTAGGATACTTTCCGTTTCTATTGGCTTGTTTATTTGCAAAGAGACTCAGAGAATAGTGAAGATTAAGATATTTAAACATAACTAGCGGCCGCCCGCGACTTCGTACGCGTGGATCCTGTTTTACCCCCTTTTCCCGAATTTTCTTTGCTATAAACCTCACGAAGCCCGAGACCTTTCCAACGAATGCAAAACCGTGGAAATCGGTTCGTGCGTTCTGGAGTTATAACGTCAGGGAGGAAAACCCGACTTATTTTTATATAGTAGATTAGAAGATACTGAATATTTACGCCCGTATTCACAAACGATGCTTGCTCAAGTGAAGCATCAAATCGAACGTACAGCGTTGAATAGAGCTCTGTGATTGGATCGTGTGTCACATTGTGTGTTCACGCGCAGTGTGAGACCTCATAGTAATGTTTGTGGATACGGGCGTTAGATATGTTTAAGGATTTTCAACCGACTTCTAAAAACTAGGAATTCGCAATGCGGTCATAACTTCGTTGTTAACTCGAACTCCATCATTTGTTTAATTAATTTTTACAGGTTTTAACGCGATACGCGGTTAGGAAATAACATCTGTCATTTGTATTTTAAATAGGATAAATGATCCTTGGTTGGTCCTATTAAAATTTGATCAAAATCATTGGTTTTTTGATCAAAATATTATGTCAAATGTATCCGCTTCTTAACCTTGGCAATTGGCAGGATGACACCGACTCCGAAAATGTCAAAAAGTGTGATATAATACCAATATAAATCATTGTATATTTAGTTAGATATTCAGGTAGTGTGTGATATACCGAGGCGTGTCCACGGTTCGATGCCCGGTAGATTTATTTATTGGTGCTATCATTTCCTTAATAAAAGTGAAATGAGATAACATCGACTTGAACTATTAGAAAGGATTTGATAGAATGGTGTTGTTTTAAAACTGGACGTTAATGGATTGTTTGTTAGAACATAAGAATTAATTAATGTGAGCAAAATTACGTCAACAGCTCAAGAGCGTGGGTAGTATAGGAAAAATCCGCCATTTGCCAAATTAGAAGTGCTCCTGCAGTGAAAACTAAATCTACTATATAAAAATAAGTCGGGTTTTCCTCCCTGACGCTATAACTCCAGAACGCACGAACCGATTTCCACGGTTTTGCATTCGTTGGAAAGGTCTCGGGCTCCGTGAGGTTTATAGCAAAGAAAATTCGGGAAAAGGGGGTAAAACAGGATCCACGCGTACGAAGTTGCGGGCGGCCGCTAGTTACTTATGATAATGTAGGTATAACGTTTGCATCTTGTCTATATAAGACGACAATATCATAAAGGTAGCAGGAAGGCGCTGGACGCAGGCCGCTACCAACCGGGCTACATGAAAATCATTGCCTATGTTCAGCAGTGGACGTCCTATGGCTGAGATGATGATGATGATAAGTCCTAAATAGGAACCTAAAGCCCAACTTCAAACTCCTATGTTCTTCTGATTAATTTCGTTGCGGGTCCAATGAATGACAGTTTAACTTTCCCTCAGAACAAACTTGACCTTCACTGGTTGGGTTGTTGGCGGTCAAGCTGTAGATCCTGGCTACACAGGAGTTGCAGTGGTGGGAACGAGAGGTGGGAATAGTCCCGTACCTAAAAGCCCAAAATGGCTGATGACTGTTAATTTCACAACTTTAACACGCTACTGTTTATCTATACAAACAGCTTTTTTAGGACAGACTGCCACGTGCCTGAAATCTAGGTCATCCATCATTTTATCAAGACCTATCAAATTATCTAATACCTGACCTATTGCACAATTGACATAAGCGATGCCAGCCAATTTGCGTAATGCGGCAGGCACTGTAGGAAGTACGGCTTTCGGAAGAACTGCTATTTTTGATTGACAGTTGAATGGTATTAGTAGTTAATAGATGTTCGTATTGTGTTTTGGAAGAACGCCACAATTTTTTTACTGTTATGTAAGTTATTGTACTCGGCAGAGTAACTTAATTGGAGTATTTTTGGGGATGTAATACTTTTTGATAAAAGGAAAACAAATACTAGATACATGCATAAAATTGCTAACTTTACACCGATTTATTCTTTTTAACCGTTGCTCTATATTTTAGTTTAAAAAAATCTTTAATAACAAAATTTAATAAAGTACAAATATCCAACTAAAAACGCTCATTTGGTCACTCAGAGGCTGAGTAAAAATATTTGCATTTTTGAGACATCAGCAATCGTGGAACCCCTAAATGGTCTCATGAGACCGCGGTATAAATTATTTTCTATTGTGTCTCGATATTGTGCACTACTTTTTTATTTTNATTAAGTATTACAGATCATTAATGGGCTATTGTCCAAAGATGGTTGAATATTTTGACCTTTTGACTTGTTTCAATTTAATTGAAAGGAAGATGAGTAACGTGTCAGGAAATTGAATAAGCAAAATATTTGTGTATAATTTGTAAGCTTATAGAAAGTACCTACTTACTAGTTATTACAAACCAATGTACCTTAATTTAGTAGTAGTATTAATTATAATATGGCTTGTCTCGAATCAAATAAAATAAGGAAGAGATGTGGTGTACTACTACACAAATAAAGAGTGTGCGCTATGGCAACACTGACTAGTACGGCGCGGTGGGGAGTCAGTCGTAGTCGGGCCGCCACACGGGACGGACGTCAGTGCTTGCACTAGCTTACACAGTGAACATATATCAGTGTTTTATTTAAGACACCACAGTTACTATCTTAAATAAATAATGAAGACGCTGAAATCACCACAAAACTCTAAAATGATGATCCACCTAGCTCGCAATGACACAGAACTGATGAAAACATTTGTTCCCTTTTGATTTACCACTGAACATTTATTTTGACGTATACTACAAACGTCACCACTCCATACTGTGTCTAAACTAGTCATAAACCTGTTCTAGGGTACCAAAATCGCGTCGGAAGGTCTGAAGGGCCGTGTCTTCGAAGTATCGCTGGCCGATCTTCAAGCTGACACCGACGCTGAGAGGTGAGGTATTTTGTTTATTTTAATTTCTGTTCTAAGGCTGACTTGCACCACTTAACTGTAACTATAGCGATAACTGGTCTATTTTGTATGGAGTTTGACAAGCTAAATAATCTGTTATCAAGCAAAGAAAAACAACTTACATCGAAAACAACAATGATTTTTTGAATCAAAATTTTTGTTCTGCAGTCCAGCTATATGAAAGCTTGTCATAGCTTTTATATCGTTTCAAACTGCAGATATTGTTTGCTGTCACACAATACAGTGCCTTTATACCTGTGTGTGCAGGCCTTTTGTGTCATTGCTACATTTGTATTTTGCACAGAAACATGCTTGGAATTTAGTAGAATAAATGATTGATATTTTATTTTTGAGCACTGAAAATCATGTAGTTTCTAAAGAGCTTAAAATTAAATATACAGGGTGAAAACGATAAGTAAGTAAGCTTCATGAGCAACAGTATCAATATTAAGTTACTGAATAAATTGGATCCATTTGTAAATTCCATGTTTCTCTGGATAACAACAGCAAGTAAAGCCAAAAACCAATGTTTTCCTTAAATAACTTTAAATAAAAATGTAATTTACGAGTTTATTTTAATAGATTACTAACTACAACTAATTGTCTCATCTCCGTCTCTTCCAGATCTTTCCGCAAGTTCCGCCTGATTGCTGAGGATGTGCAGGGCCGCAATGTCCTCTGCAACTTCCACGGAATGGACCTCACCACTGACAAGCTCAGGTAAGACTAGAATCACATCATTTCAGCCACAGGACATCCATTGCTGAATATAGGCCTCCCCCAATGATTTTCATGTTGATCGATTGGTAGCGGCCTGCGTCCAGCTTCCTGCTACCTTTATGATGTCAGTCTACCTTGTGGGTGGACGTCCCACGCTGCGTTTTCCGGTACGCGGCCTCCATTCCAGAACCTTGTTGCCCCATCGGCTTAGTTCTGTGTAATATGTGCCCTGCCCATTGCCACTTCAGCTTGCTAATCCGTCGAGCTAAGGCTTAAATACTGTCGCATGTGACGTAGTTGTTGGGTGTTATCCACGAAGACGCGCCCTCACATTTTTGGTCTCGGTCGCGCGGGGTGCGGGGAGTGTGGTCCGAGCAATCCGAGCGTCATTATTGTAATGTGCGTGTGCACTCATGGATCATTTAGCGTGTACCGATAACACTCAAATATTAGCGGAAGAATGGTGGGGTGCGTCTTCGTGTATGAAACGATCTTTAGTATTATCATAATTTCCAAACCTGCAGCCCAGCTATACGAAGGTATCCCATGTGGTCTTTGTATCGTTTCAAGCTGCAGATATAATATGCTGTCACATAATGCAGTGCCTTCCCATCAGTATGGAGAGGCCCTTTATGTCACTGCTACATTCTTAATACTACCAATGCAGGACTGTTCCCACCTCTCGTTCCCACCGCTGCAACTCCTGTGTAGCCAGGATCTACAGCTTGCCTGCCAATAAACCCAACCAGTGAAGGCCAAGTTTGTCCCGGGGAACAGTCAAACTGTCATCTACTGTTAAATACTACTGATAGCCAAAGCCTAATGAAAGTCACACTTTATATTTGGTATCATCCAATATCTATAGGCAAACAGTCTCATTTTCAATAGCAAATCTAGACCAGTGATTCAAAGAATGGAAGAAATAAAGAAAAAATTGTTTTGCCTCTGGTCTGAATCACTTTTGGTATGATACAACTAAAGATCCTTAGCAAGCCACTAGTTTTTCTACACTTTAATTTTATAAAAAGAAAAGATTTTTATTGTATTTGAATAGGCTCCAAAGTCCAAAACTACTGGACTGATTTGAAAAATTTCTTACACCATTATTTCTGATGAACATAGGCAGTACGAAGTTTGCTAGGTCAGTTAGTTAAAAACCTCATTAAAAACTCATTTTATTTTTGCAAGTAGGCTTTTAAAAAGCACTTACACGTCCCAGTATTAACCCTACCACTGCTTCGGGACAATAAATGGGCCAGTGCTGAGAAGAAGCAGCGCAAGAAACTGACGCCCGTATTCACAAACGCTTGCTTAAATAGAACGCACAGGGTTGGTTGCTCTGTGATTGGTTCATGTCACCCTGTGCGTACGCGCACTGTGAGACCTCATAGTAATATTTGTGAATACGGGCGTTAGTCACTAATAAGTCAGTTTGCTAATGAAATACCATTTTCACCGTCAGATGGATGGTCAAGAAATGGCAGACGCTCGTTGAAGCCAACATCGATGTCAAGACCACCGACGGATACCTACTCCGAGTGTTCTGCATCGGATTCACCAACAAGGACTCGCTCAGCCAGCGCAAGACTTGCTACGCTCAGCACACACAGGTTAGTCAATGTTTAATGCCCTCCAGATGCATGGATCAGATTTGATTGGAAAAGAACACTTTAGCTTCGAAACCAGTTGGCGTATTCACGTAACAAAACTTCAACGACGAGCAAGCGATTTATCACTTTTCGTATTCACGTGTTAGTCGCCCGATTTTGTTTCGATTTAGTTTTTGTCATTCAATCGTTGCCTCCGCGGTATTCACCTATTTATTACCTATCGTGAAGAGTGACTTGCGTTTGAGGAAAAGTAGCTTTATCCGCTTTTACACGCTCCGTTTACGTAAGACGCATTTGCGCTCCGTTTACGTCATAGCTTCGTTTGAACTAGTTGTCAAAGCGCCACCGCGATACGAATTTGTACAAATGGCTGATTTTTCGTTCGTCGTTCAGTCGCGTTGCAGTTGTAAATTTTTAGCATAATCGGCGCGCAGTAGCCTTATTCACGTAACAAAACTTCAGCGACAATAAAACACTGAGTTGCGATCCTATCGAGTAATCGTTCTATCAAAATGACCCTTGTGAATACGGATTTAGAACTGTTTTTCAATGGGACGACTTCTGAACGTCAGCGAGATCTTGACTGTCAAAATACGTGAATAATGCCCGTTTTCACCATCAATCCCTAATTTTTAAGTGATCCCTATGAAAACAAAATACCTGTTATTTGTTACCATAGGCACAGAATAATAATAAGTAGCTACTACGTACAGAAGTTTTACTTCGCGAAGGTATTTAAAAAAATGTATGCTCAATGTCATTAACAATATGGTGTAATTTAGCCTGTCTCAAGAGTCAAACACCATTTTGTTGACAAACGTCAGTGATCGGCACTGCGCCGAAGCTATAGGGCTGACTTCGGTAAAATGATGTGACGTGAGGTGCCAAACTGCGGAAAATGGCGGAGGAAATACATGATTTAGCATGAATTAGCATGAATAATAAATTAACTACTTATTTACCTCTTCAGTGTCTTGAGGCAACTTAAAAAAGTTCATTCTGTGTTTTTGTTATTATTTAGGCAGTTAAATACTGCACAGTATTTAGTTCACCATTTTCTTTATTTTCATCCATCATACACAAGAATACGCGTGCGTGAGTCAATGTTCGCTCGTATGTGAGGCCATAGCTGGGCACCGTTAATCAAATAGTTAACTTCGTTAATCGTTAAACCGTTAATAAAAAAATTAACTTCGTTAAACGTTAAAACGTTACATTTAGCAAGATTTAACGCAAGTTAACGTTAATCGTTAATCCGTTAACACATTATAATAAAACGAAAAAAATAATTGAACCCGTCATTTCAAAAAGTGTAACTGGTGCCGTTTTGGAAAAAATGACGGGTTCAATTGTATGCAAAGTTCAAATAATTTCGAAAGCTTGTATCGTGCATGCAATTTATTCCTCTTTTATGTTTGCGCTACAAGCTTTCGAAATTATTTGAACCTTGCTTACAATATTTTTTTTCGTTTTAACAACTGCATTGCAGAATAAAATCTCGTTTTTAAAAAAGTTTTTTATTAATATAATTTAATTTTACACTTTTTAGTAGTAGACTAAGGCGGTTATCACACTGCGCCGCGGAGCGCGTGATTTCATATAAAAAAACCGGCCAAGTGCGTGTCGGACTCACGCACAAAGGGTTCCGTACCATTGATTTATGTTTTTTTTTTAATTTAAGTTATTTGTATGAAAGATTANAATATAGGATAGAATGTTGGTGAATCATGAAGTTTGGGTCATCGTGTCTTTGGCAGCTATCCTAAAAAAATTGTCTGCCACGGAGTTGGAACTGTCAAAACTTTCTGGCTGATGAGGAACTACTTCTAATTATTGCCCTAATATTTTATATAAAAATCAGCTTTTATTTTATGGTATAACGTAAGCCTAATTTTTACGGTGGCTTTTTCTGTATATTTAATAGACTGTAATTCTACTTACGTTATACCATAAAATCTGATTTTCATGTATAATATTTGCCAGCCACACAGTTTTGACAGTTCCAACTCCTTGTCAGACAGTTTTTTTAGGATAGCTGCCAAAGCCACGATGACCCAAACTTCATAATCCACCAACATTCTAACCTATATTGGGAGCATACGCTGACAAACTTTCAGCTTTTATATTATAGGTCTGGCGTTCACCAGCTCTTAGTCTATAATATCTCAATCTCCGAGCCTTCGTTCAATTACAATACAATTTAGCACCAAAGTGCTCGAAAAGCCAAATCCAACAAACATAAAATTGACAAGTTTCCACTGTTTCGTTTAGGAATTGCTATGGCCACCTCCTGACTCGCATCATCAGGACCCTGGACATTATCTAGTACTAAAGTGCTCAAAAAGACAAAATTGCATTTTCATCGTACTTACATAAGTATACCAAATTTCAGCTCAATCGGTTGAGGAGAACTGGTCTTAAATTCAGTTGCAAGATTTGTCCTACACATAACTAACAAGTGTCAAGTTTTATATCGCTTCGTTCTGGTTACAAAAACTGTTGTTTTGGATTCTGGAAGTTCTGGAAGCCCGAACGTACTTGTCAGAGCGCGTTTTTCAGCGTGCCTGCTGTATCTTTTTGGTAAATAGTAGGTACTGGATTAACGATTAACGGACTTAAGATAATTTAACGGAAGTTAACGAGTCCGTTAACATTTTTTAAAGTTAACTTAAAAGTTAATCCGTTAATAGAAATGTTAACTTCGTTAATTAACGATTAACGGATTAACGAGTTAATGCCCAGCTATGTGTGAGGCCTTGTCGAATAGTATCCTGTAGGTGGGCCATCGTGCGTGTTTTGTTTTTGATGTAAACTTGCGGAGATGAACAGGCCTGCCATAGGGGTCACTTAAAAATTAGGGATTGATGGTGAAAACGGGCATAAGGCTACTGGCCTAAGTACCCGCAGTCCCGCCTGTGTGGCGTGTTCTATGGCGCGTCACACCCACAATGGATAATACTGCGGAGAGCGACGCATTCACACAAACGTGGCTTGTGGGTCTGCCGCTGGCTATTTGTGGTCTGCTACATTCTAACTACCCTACAAATGCAAGAGCCAAAGCACACGATGCGTTGCGACATCGCTGCGTCGTCTTACATAGAAATATCTGTGGCGGGCACACGACGAGTGCGGCGTCGCGCGTTACGTCGAAATGTTTTCGGTGCGGAGCCGCAAGCGCAACGTATCGTGTGCTTTGGCTCTTACTTTGAAATTGTTTGATGTTTTTGCTTTTTGTAATGGTTACTAACACTATTCATAAATCATTCTTTGAACTTTTAAAGTGAAGATTTAGGAAAGACTCGCGCACTTTTGTCGCCGTGGCTGATATGTCACTCATATAGATGACCCACGCTGAACTGTCCCACCAAACTCAATGACAGGGGGGCGCTACCATCGTTCAACTATATGGTTTCCAACATGGCAAAAATCGGAACAAGCGATCCGGTATTGACAGTGGCGCCCCGCTGTCAATGTCATGGGTAGGACAGTTCAGTATTTTGGAACTATATCAAGTCCATGGAGACGTGACAGTGACAGAAACTGTTTTGTCACAGTCACCCATCTGTCATTGGACTATGATCGAGCCGGCAATGGTGATGGCGATTTGCACGCGATGGTGTGGTTGAAGCTTTAGCCTATGCGCACACCGTTGATTTTTCGTCGGCCGATAGTTTAGTCGGGCAGTTGATATGTATGGGCATGTATGGAAGTGCGCACATTACCACAGAATAATAATAAGTACTACGTACAGAAGTTTTACTTCGCNAGCTATGTTGATTCATCATCCGACCGATTTCGGCCAATGCGATCATTTCGAGTCTTAACTGTCTTAAACTTGCAGTGAAGAATAAAATGACGATGATGATGATGATAAACAAATTAGTAGAAAATGGTTATTCGCGCTCATACGGTTTTTATCTTAAGAAAAAAAATCTAGGGCCTTACAGCAAAAAGTTTTTTGTTTGTTTCGTATAACTTTTATGTAAGAAAGCCTTTAATTTCTAAGGTCTAAATATCTTTTTTTTATACATGTACATGACAAGGCAGTTTTTGAAATAAGTAGTGATTTGAGTACACTGTATAAGTTTTTGCCAACGTTACTGTGATTTGTGACACAATGGCGTCGTTTAAAAGGTCATTTATGTCATACTCACCAATCTGTTGCAAGTTACGCGTCGTCATGTCACACTTTCTATCCACAACGCTTACAGTAATGTCACTCAAGGTGCAATGTTTCTACGTCTACCTACTACTACGCGAATTTTCAATGTTCTCCGTAAAAGATCTTTGTCTAGTTATTAAAGTTTTTCTGGCGTTAAGAGTCGCCTCTCGATCTAAATATTTTAAAATAACTTGAAAAAATCGAACTGCCTAAGGTCTAAGATATGGAAGAGCAGTCGCATAGCAAGCGAAAGGTCGTGTGTTTGATTCCCACTTTATGCAGTTTGAATTTTTCAAAATTGTACCATTCTAGACTGCATCTCACTTAACATGAAGTGTGATTGTAGTCATTTAACTCCCTAATTACGAGTAATAATACCCGCCTTGTCTCTACACTAATATTACAAAGAGGAAATATTTGATTGTTTGTTGAATAGGCTCCGAAACTATTGGAGCGATTTGAAAAATTCTTTCACCATTAGAAACCTACATTATTTCTAATGGACTTAGGCGGTACGAAGTTCGCCGGGTCAGCCAGTTCTTCATAAAAAAATATTACAATGTTTAAGTCAAAATTTCTTTGTGTAGACTATTAAGTAGTGCTTGCAAATCGTCAAATATTAATCATAAAACACTAATATAGTTTTGCTCTTAGGCCTCTACATGTCTCATACTCTTTTTGCTCTACCAGCGCTATAAATAAATAAGATAGCGTGCCTCTAATTAAGCAATCTTTTCCAACAAAGAAGCGTTCAATAAAAAATGTAGAGCATGTTAAACAATGCATCGAAAACGAGAGCCGTACTGTCGCAGTCGATGTCGTAACAGAAAGTGAGCGCTTTTCCGGCTTAATCCGACAATTAATAAATTTCGCCGCGAAGGCTGTAAGGCAGTGATAC